GTTAAGAAAATGAGGTATTTCCCTCTCATTTTCTTGGCTGAGCACAACGGCTCATACCTGTAACTGCTGCACTTTGGAACGCTGAGGTAGGAAAAATGTTTGAGGCCGTAAGATGAAGTTACAGTGAGCTAAATTTGCACTCTATGCTGAGCCGCAAATTGAGACACTGTCTCTCAAAAAAATTTTTTTTAATTTCCCTTTGAATTCTTTTCATCAAAATAAAGTTTAAGACTAAGAGGTATTGATTCAGGCATGCACAGTGGCTCATGCCTATAATCCCAGCACTCTGTGAGGCTGGGGAAGGCAGATTGCTTGAGCTCAGGAGCTGAGACTGGCCTGAGGAAGAGCAAGACCCCAGTCTCTAAAAAAAAAAAATAATCGAGGGCGGCGCCTGTGGCTCAGTGAGTAAGGCGCCTGCCCTATATACCAAGGGTAGTGGGTTCCAACCTGGCCCTAGCTGAACTGCAACCAAAAAAAAAAATAGGTGGGCATTGTGGCAGGCACCTATAGTCCCAGCTACATGGGAGGCTGAGGCAAGAGAATCGTTTAAGCCCAGGAGTTGGAGGTTGGTGTGAGCTGTGTGACACCATGGCACTCTACCAAGGGCAATAAAGTGAGACTTGCATTGTAGTGGGTATCTGTAGTCCCAGCTACTTGGGAGGTTGAGATAAGAGCATGACTTGAGCCTGGAGACTGATGAAGAAAAAAAACCTGTTGAATTTTGAACCTCTAAAGCTTGAAAACCAGTCTTGTCAGCTAAGAAAAGAGTAAATTAAAAATGCATAGATAACTCACAAGCTAATTAAGTACTTCCCTTTTTCCTTAAGCACTGTCACCATTTTTAATTGGGAGAACCAAAAATAGTCTTAAAACAATGACTTTTCTCCAAGAAATAAGATTCAAATTATCTCCAGAACTTGATTTTATCATCAGCTATTAGTAGAATCTTATTAAACTTAACAGTCCTGACATCTCAATCCAAGCCAAGTATCTCTCTTTCAAATGAATACTTGATGACGCCTATGAAATATTTGCTTTTTAGGTTTATTTTCCTTTTTTTTTGAGACAGAGTCTCACTTTGTCACCCTCTGTAGAGAGCTCTAGTATCACAGCTCACAACAACCTCAAACTCTTGGGCTCAATCTATTTCTCTTGCCTTAGCCTCCTGAGTAGCTGGGACTATAGGCGCCTGCCATAATACCTGGCTATTTTTAGGGACAGGGTCTCGCTTTGGCTCAGGCTGGTCTCAAACTTATGAGCTTAGGCAATCCACCCGCCTAGGCCTCCCAAGTGCTCAGATACCACGCCCGGCCAGGTTAATTTTCATGTTCATTTATGAGATCTCTGCAAACAAAGATAAGCTTCAAGGTCAGGGATGCTTTAACTGTAACTGTAACTCTAGCACATTTCTTGATAAAAGTTTCCTTCCTTCTGACAAGTTGCCACTGGACAAATACAGCCTACAAAAAATATCTCAAGATACCAACTGAAATATGACTGCTCAGAGACACTGACCATTCTACCAATCTTTTGTTTATCTGAGTCAGGTAAGTCCAAACACAGGAATAAGGAGGACCAGGTGTTACAACATGACAAGGGACACTGTTAAAAAATAGGGTAACCCATAGGGTAAGTCTAAGGTATGTTTCCCAGAGCTTAGCAGTGGCTCACACCTGTAATCCTAGCACTCTGGGAGGCTGAGGAGGGCAGATTGCATGAGCTCAGGAGTTTGAGACCAGCCTGAACCAAGAGCATGACTCAGTCTCTAAAAATAGCCGGGCATGGGTACCGCCTGTGGCTCAAAGGAGTAGGGCACCTGGGCCCATATGCCAGAGGTGGTGGGTTCAAACCCAGCCCAGCACCCATCCCCCCAAAATAAAACCAAAATAGCTGGGCATTCTGGTAGGCGCCTATAGTCCCAGCTAGTCAGGAAGCTGCTGTAAGAGGATTGCCTGAGCCCAAAGGTTTGAGGTTGCTTTGAGCTATAACACCACAGCACTCTTCCTAGGGCAACTGAGTCTCAAAAAACAAAAACCTACCACAATTTCTTAGATTCTATTTCTGAAAGAAGTCACAAACCCTGTTTTCTAGCACTTCTCAACTCAGCACGCTGACAATCCCGTTTTAGCTCATTTTGGAATGGGGGGGAGCCCTCAACTGTGATGAAATCAAACAAACAGGGCTCACTTAAGTGCCGCAGTTAAAACTACAATGGATATTACTAGCTGCTGTAGCAACTTTTCACTCCACAGTCTTTTTCTCTCACTTCCAATCACCTAGAGGCAACACCCCAGGCTGTGTCTGTCTTCCCTCTGGTCAGCAGAGCAATCTTTCTTCTGTGTGAGAGTTAATACAGTCACAAAAGAATAAAGAAAACAACTAGGTCTTAAAGGACTACATAGTAGGGTATCAAGCATTCAACCTTCTCCAGCAGCCATTTCTACCTGGACATTTCACCTCAGGAAGAGATTCAAACAAAAATCAACCACCCTGTAAGCAAGTAACATGCAACCATTTGTATTTTGGCATTAAAGAACTGTCTAAGAGAGAATTCTGGCAAAATCCCTAAGCCTTCAATAGTCTTCAACCTATGTTGCTCATACCCTAGTACGTAACCCCTCCAGATGATGAAGCAGCCATCCACTCATCTAGGAGTATGAAGCTGTGAAATGCCTAGAGCTCCTAAGTTAGCATTTGTGTCCTCCCTCCAGAAGAATGAAGTGTGATTAAAAGTTCAGCGTTTCTTCTTTTGCTTTGTCAACAAAACCAACACTCCACAGTCATAACACAACACTACTTGCTAAATAAAACCACCAGGTTCTAGGGCAGGCATCCTCACACTGCGGCCCGCCTAGGACATTTATCTGGCCCGCTGGGTGTTTTTAACACCGCTGCCTGTCCTGCTTAGCGGCTGACTTGTCCTGGGGCCTGCAGTCTGGCCCTCCAATGGTCTGAGGGACAGTGAACTGGCCCCCTGTTTAAAAAGTTTGAGGACCCCTGTTCTAGGGCATAAGGAAGGGAAGCACCCTTCCCATTTCACCCCTTGAAGCAGTTTGCCCTGTGGGTCACTAAGTTTAAACTGGGTTTGGGCCATAGAATGGATTTAAGCTTTAAAATTGACTTTTGTAGATTTCCCTAGAAATCACACAGTAAGTTTTAAATGGAGTTTCAGCTTCCAATATACTTTCCTACCAGATCAATCCCTCCAATAAAGATTACAATTACTCTCACAGTAAGAAAAAATAAGGGGTAAATAAGCATTGCTTCATGTAGAAAGCACATTTTAAACTGTTTTACTAATGCTTTAGTAAAAGAACGCTGAATGCTTTTGGTAAAAGAATGAAGGCACTTTCTTGGAAGGAGGAAACCTGTGTAGGAGATCCCTGCGCACTTCCTCACCTGCTGATCAGCTTCCCAGCTGGGGCACCTCACAGCAGGGTGGCACTAGTGGCAGGCTGTGTAGAGCGTTGAATTGCAGATGACCAGTCTGCTCAAACTCACTTTTGTGCAAATCTCACTTATGACTCAATGGACACTTAATGCCTTCTTCAAAAGTTTTAATGGTTCACAGATGGCAAAGGGCACTTAGGTGACTAGACAACACAAAAGGCATGATTCCAAAATTCAAAATCCACAAGGGAACAAGAGAAAATACATACAGAAGCGTATGTAATATTTATGTTGACCGCAAACTGCAGCCCAAAATGAGAAGCCACAGAAAAATTAAATTCTACTTAGTAACTATGTAGTAAGTTTTGTAAATGATGTAATAAGTTTAAGTAATATAAAATGCTAGCTCCTATGTTCCCATATTTATTTAAATATCACAAAGAAACTAAAGCAGATTTAAAAATACTACTTATATACATTTTCCTAAGAGAAGGAGTCTTGATGTATTGGCTGGGCTGGTTTCTCACTGTGCATGCTCCATCAATGTCTTCTTCCAAACTGTTACTCTTCCCCTCTAAGGACTTTTGCTTTCTTATCTTTTTTTTTTTTTTTGAGACAGAGCCTCAAGCTGTCCCCCTGGGTAGATAGAGTGCC